GATTTTGAGGCAGTGGTCCATGGACCACCCGGTGAGAAAACTCTGTGTCTATTGAGCTGGGAACATATTATTTGCTCTTCCTGCCTGGGGCTTAAGTGCCATCAGAATGCAGACCATCTGGGTTGAGTGGGTTTTACTCTTTCCTTTCCCTAGACTTAAATTCTTATCTCCCTTGGTTCCCTGGGCCCCAACCACTATCTGAACCAGAAATTCTGGGGGTGGGATCCAGTAGCATCATATTTTAAAATTCCCCAGCGGATTCTGACATGCAGTCAGAGTTGAGAGGCACTGAGATTCCAGGGTTGGAACTGAAGAAACTCATGGTTAATACCTCAGACATCATCATCCGAGTTACCAGGGAAGTCTATTTTGCTGCTTTTGGACATACAGCTTCCGCCCTGGATCCTGGGACTTGGGGTCTGTATTCTTCAAAAAAACCCCAGGAAATGGGCCCTGTGATCATGCAAGTTCAGGAACCATTGCCTTGAGGGTAGATAGGACTCTGTCATGGATGAGTCCTGTGTTTTTGGCCACAGATCTTATGGGCATGTTAACAAATACTGTTTGATGATACAGTTGTCCTGCTCTGCAGCCCCCAGGCCCCTTGGGTCAAAGGCCACACTGAAGAGTCTTAACCTTCTCGCTGTCTGTTGCCTGTTTCAGGTTTGGAATTCCCTTGGGGACCTAAACCCTTCAGGGAAGTCATTGCAGGGCCCTTGCTTAGAAATAATGGGCAGTCCCTGGAGAGCAGCAGCCTGGAGGGGTCTCACGTGGGAGTCTATTTCTCCGCACACTGGGTGAGTCTTTGGTCCCTCTTTAGCCCAGACAGAAGGAAGCAGCGAGATCACCACCAAGACCAGCTGTGATTGGCTCCTGGAGGTGTGACTGCTTGGGCATAATTCCCTGGCATTCTTCCTTTGTCCTGTGCCCAATGCATTGTTGGCATGCAATAAGCGCTTATTAATGATAACAGCAAGAAAATAACTTCGTTTGACTGGTCTAAAAGGATAGCTTTCTTAACCCATTCTGATGAGGCTTCTAACGGTCCCTGAGGGGGCTTGTTTAACTGCTGCCTGCTGGCAGGCTGTGAGGGTGGGGAGGAGCCGGTGCTGGATGCTCACCATTACGTCTGTTTCCGCCTCTTTTATGAACCAGGTTTTGCCAGCCCAGTTCTACTTGGGTCTCACTGGCCTGGCCTCTGATGGCAAGTGGCTGGGAAAGGGGACGTTGAAAGTACAAAGTTAGGCTACAGGATCCTACTCTTGTTTTTCAGTGTCCCCCCTGCCGAAGCCTCACCCGGGTCCTGGTGGAATCCTACCGGAAGATCAAGGAGGCAGGCCAGAAATTCGAGATCATCTTTGTTAGTGCAGACAGGTAACGTGCGCTGGGGAAGGTGGCAGTGCAGCTTCCCTTGTTCCGTGGGTGGTTAACGTGCCTTTCTCTCGCCTTGAGCTTCTCACTTTCGTAGTGTAGAGCTTGGAGGTTGGGATTGGGGAAGACATATCTGGGATTATTGGAAGAGAGATGGACGTATTTCACATTTACTCTTGGAAACGTCCGATGGGAAGCCGAGAAAAATTCATTCTTGCTGTAAATATGGAGCTATGTCCCAATTCAGGCCTGGATCATTTGAGGTTAGAATGCGTTTTCTGATTTGTTCAGCTTTTTGGATTGTGGTGAAAGGATATGGAGGGGGAGGGATGGAAACAAAAGAGCAGGGACTAATGGAATGTGATGCCTGTCTTAGATGGCTGTGCAAACATTTTCCTTAGCTCCCGCAATTTATCTGGAGGCTGTCATAAAAGGTCAGACCTTTTTCCTGGTCTACATCAGGTCCTTTTAGCCTTGATTTCCTCTGCTCCTTGCCCTCTCGCTGGCTTTACTCATCAGTGACTTTCCTACATGGCAAAACTCCCCAATTCAGACCGAGCCACCAGGTGCTTCTGCCTCATAAGTTCCTGTTCACAGAAGGCCCTCCGAGATGCCGACACACTGAGAGCATGTCTTCCCTGTGGTAGCCTGGACATCTGTGCTACTATTTCATGCTCAGTTTGGTGGCCCGTGGTCTCTCCCACCGCAGTGCCTGTGAGTGGAGGCAAGCTCGAAGGCGTGCCGGGTGGAGTAATCACTTGTTTAAAACTTTAAAAGACATCAGCTTTACTGCAGTATAATTGGCATGCAATGAAATGCATGCATTTTAGGTATACAGTTAAGTGCATTTTGACAAATATATGTACCCATGTAAGCATCACAATTAAGACAGAGAACATTCCAGCACTCAGAAGACTCCTTCATGCCTCTTCTCAGTCAGTTCTAACCCCCAAACCCCAGTTTCAGGGAACCTCTGATCTGCTTTCTGTAACTTGATTAGATTTGTCATTCCTAGAATTTCTTATATGTAGAATCATTATGTTTATGATTGGTTAAAAATGTGGTCCCGTACACACCACTGTTACATATACAAAATAGAAGTGTCACAGGGAATGCAGTGTCTGAACATCTAGGTTTGTTATAAAAGTAAGACCTGTGTGTGTTGAAAATGAAGAGCTGGGCATGAGTTAAACTAGCAGGATGCAGGGGAATGAGCTATTGAAATGGTCTGGCACTGTAGTTTGGTATCCACGTGCTGTGTGGACCAGGTTTCCCGGGGTGCACCAGAGCGGGCGGAATGACCCCTTTTGTGCCTGAGCGTGATGATCAGATGCCTCTGCATTTGCAGAGCCCTGGGCACGGCTTGGTAGAAGGTGGGGAGGACCCAATGGTGGTGTACTTGCGGTAATAGAGCCCTGTTTCCATGTGTGTCACTGTAGGTCAGAGGACTCATTCAAACAGTACTTCAGCGAGATGCCCTGGCTTGCGGTCCCCTACACCGACGAGGCCCGGCGGTCGCGCCTCAACCGGCTGTACGGAATCCAAGGTAAGCATTTCCGACTCCAGGACGCTTCTTGGAAACCTGCTCATCAGGGCTCACCACGTCTTTGACTTTCCTTTTAGAGGGAAAAGAACTTTATTTCCATGAATGTTCTGCTTTACCATCTTCAAAATGGGAAGATTCAGTGTTGGGCACAGAGCAGGCATTTAATAAATATAGGGCATCCCAAAAAAATGTATGCACAGACATTAAATAATTGTAAAGGTAGTGTTTATTAAAATATATTTCATTTTCAAAATTGAGCTATCAGCTGTTAAAGTGTGTTTACATTTTTGAGGGACACCCTGTATTTAACTGACTTTCTCAGGGGGGAAAAAGGGAAAAGTGAGAGTTTACAACCTAAAAAAGATGACCTTTTGTATGTCAAAAAGCTTAAACAAAGGCCACCAACAATATTAATAACATGATGGCAAAGAATCAATATCTTTCATAGAAAAAGAGCACTTCCCAGATACCAGTCCAAAAGAGAGAGAAAAGACAGTTTAGACAACAAAGATTTAAGGTAGGCAGCTTTCCCCGTGTAGAGTGTCAGAATGGATATGAACAATATTCAGCATAATTTACTTTCATGAAAAGTAAAACACTGAATTTATATCTATCACATTTGCAAACAACTCCCCCCACCAATATATACATATATTCTCCAGTGTATGGAAGAGATCAGACTGCTAGTAGGAATGTAAGTAGAATAACCTTTCAGAGGCCTTAACAATTCTATAAAACCTTTCATTTAAAAATCCCACTTGTAGGAATTTATGCTCGGGAAATTTTCCTAAAGCACCTAGCAAAGGCTGAGCTCCCCTTGAACAGGTGGTGGATTTCTGTTTTTTTGGTTACTTCTTTCATATTTGCACACTTGGAATCTCATAACAGACCACGATTCTTGGCTTTAGTCCCTAGAAAACCCAGAACTGAGTTTTGTAACCACTTCAGCAATTTTGCAAAACTGACCATTTCTGTGCATGCCCTTGACCCTGGCTTCCTTTTCTCTTCCATTCTTGTTTTCCCTTCAGGGGTATATTTTCATCTGTTTTTATTAGATTATATCATGTACTTTTTAAGCCTCCTGAAATCCGTTTTGGAAAAAAGATGGAGTCGATTTAAATGAATAGGATTCTATCTCTCAAGCTCCAAGTAGCCACCAGTCCTGAGCTCAGTGGGAAATAAGAAACCAGAAGGGTGGCCCAGTGCTGCCCTTGAGTAGACAAGACTTACATTGGGAAATTACTGAAGAGCAGAGTATAATGATGTAAAAAGTGTTGATCAAATAAGTCCCATTTTGTACGGGGACTTAAGAAGATTGACACTTGTCCCAGAGAGGGAAGCCGAGTGCTTTGCCTCGCTCAGCCACTCTGCTTGGCCAGGAGGCCTCCCCACATTTCCAAGCATGTGTCCTCAATGGGGCAGAATCTCTTCCTCTCCACAGTAGGGAGTTGAGTTCCCCTTTCCTGGATGGGGGTCTAGCATGATGCAGGCATTCCTTGTGGTCCGTGCGAAGGCCGTGGGGTCACCTGAAACTAATGAATTACCAAAGGACAGTCTATATGTAATGCACAGCTAGTTTGACGTTGGCAGTCTTCCCTCCCTGTGCTCTGTCAGATGTTTCTGAGGACCCTTTGGGGTGGGTGATGGGGGTGTAGGTACAGAACAGCAATCTTGTAAGAGAGATCATGAGCTCTTCAAGAATTCAATGCAAGTTTTGGACACACCACTAAGGCTAGAGGGTGCCCTTTGCTGGAACGTTGGCAGGGCCCACACAAAAATTAAATTGATTTTTTAAAAAATCAATTATTTTCTGTCTGCCTTCGGAAAGCAGAGAAGGGAACTCTCCTTTCAGATTCTCCAGTTGTCAACATGTAAATATTACAGATGGAGGAGCCTTCGTTGTTAGGTGTGACTGAGACAGCCAGAAGGTGGGTGACCACAGTGAGGCGGAAGAGAATGGAGAGTTTTCAGACGCGTTCATTTGGCACAGTCTCTTAAGGCCCCGGCCGTGTGAGGGTGAGAAGTACATAGGTGGTCCCTGATTAAAGGAGCCTTCGTTGGAGGATCAGAAGGCCGATTTGGAGAGGCTCTGCCCGGGCAGGCGGTGGCCGGCCAGCCACGCCACAGTGAAGGAATGTGAGACTCATGAGGATCCCAGGTCCGCAGGGAGCCTGCACTGCAGCCCAGCCCTGCGCCTGGCCCGTCCCAGTGCTCCTCGTCTGCTGGCCCACGGCGCCCACTCCCCTGCCATCTGTTCTAGTGTCTCTTCAGCTTGGACCTGACTGCTTTCCCAGCTCCCCACCTCCTGCTTCCTCGCTCTCGGGGTTATAGTCTTTGGCACAGTGTTTTGTGCTGACTGCTCCTTGATCACTGATCTCTTGGCTAAGCCTTAGGACTCATTCCTGCCAGCAGCCTGTCAGACGTGGCCTGTTGACCTTGATCTGTCTGCCTCTGGCCCTGTCAAACCAGAGATGCAGTAAAGCACAGTGAAATATGAGTATAGAAAAGCAGCACAGCATTCTTATCAAGGTGGCATGTAATGAAGGGACACATGGTGGAATAATACGAATTCAGAGAAGGCTCACTTGGAGCTGTTGAGCCAGGAAGGCTTCCTGGAGGAGGTAGCTATGGAAGCAGGGCCTTACAGAATGTATGGGGTTTAGATAAGAGGTTTGGGACATTTCAGGACAAAGGCCAGAGTAGGTCACCCATGGTGTACTACAGGGAGAATGGGCAGTAGCCTGATGATGCCATATTGTATAGAGCTTTGAACGCCATGCTAAGGTCTGTGGACTTGACCCTTTGGACTTTTGGAACCTTTTGAAAATTTTGATTAAGGGGAGATCAGTGTAGCAGTGACATTTTAGTTAGACTAGAAGAGAAATCCCAGAGGCCAGTTGTCCACTGATATTTCTGTTTTGTCTTTTTTTAATTAAGATAAAATTGGTATATAACATGATATTAGTTTCAGGTGTACAACATAGTAATTCGATATTTATATACAGTACAAAGTGGTCACCACAGTAAGTCCAGTTACCATCTGTCACTGTACAGTTGACCCCCTTTACCCATCCTGCCCACCCACGCAACCCCTTTCCCTGCTGATAACCACCAGTCTGTTCTCAGCTTCTTCGACTCCTACCAGGTGACAGGCCTTATGCTGCTATGATGAGGTCGTGGTCCCTGCCCTCACAGAGCTTAGGGGCGCCACTTTACTCTTCCTTCCAGCCCCAGCACTGAGCTGAAAATGGTCTCTCAGGTCCCTGGGGGCCTCCTGTTCACAGATTTATTTAACAAAATGTAATCGCATGCCTGTGGTATGCCATGAACTAAAAAGGCCAAGGTGTCTGGCCTCACGGAGCTTACATTCCAGCAGAAAGACAGGCAGTAAACATAATTTTACCGTGAGCTGAGTTGTGAGTGCTGTAGATAAAAATAGAGCAAGGTAAAGGAATTGGGAGTACAGGGTGGGATTAATGGGACCCACTTACAAATTTAATTAAACTCCTTTAAACATGAATTTAAACCTTAAAAACCACTTACCTGAAAGACAAAATGTTCCCAAGTTCCTAAGTAAGTCTATTAACTCTAGTAAATTAAACTTAACAAATACTGTGATTCTTAAGTTTTCCTAAATGGAGCAGTACTGTTAGTAGGGTTTTTAACTTAAAATCATAACTCGGAATCAATAACACATTTTAATATTGCAATCACAGGACTGATCTGTTACTCTACTGGCCCACTTCACTTAAATAACAACGAACACAGAAGTTAAATACCAAATATGTATGGATGTCTTGACACACAAAACACTTTAATACCATAGGTTTGATTCACGCTTCTAAACTTAATTCTAGATCTTCCTAGATTTGAAAGATGCTCACTTATAAAGGAAATAAATAAGTTCCTGGTTTGGGATCATTTCTGAATTCTTCTCTAGTCTTGGAAGCCGGTGACTCCTCCCTAGGCTGCACCATCCTTCAATTGAATTTTGCTTTTCTTTACCTCTGAGGATATTTAAATGCCTCCAGTCTAGCTCTGAATACCTTTGAACTTGACAGAGTTGTGTGTTCTTTCATACTCTTCATAGCATCACAAAACTGAAAATTATTTTTGATTGGATTCTGAATATTTCTGAGCTTTGTGTGACTCTGTGGTTACAACTTCCAGTCATTCCACTGATGTGTTTATATGTGTGTATGTATAGTCTAAGCAATTTGTACTTGCAATACTCCGATACCAAATGTGTGAGAGTTTCCCACACACCAACCAGTTCTCTGACACCTGCTGTCACACACCTACAATTCAGTTCAATTTGGACACCATGTACCTGGAGTTGGGGTCGGACCCCACAGGACCACCTGCCACTCCCTCTCTTCAGGTGCCAGTTGCAAGTCCCTGTCCTTTTGACTGACTGGCTGTAAATTAAGGCTCCTGTGACCCCCTCCTCAGCTTCGGTAATTTGCTAGAACAGCTCACAAAATTCAGGAAAGCATTTTACTTACTATTATGGTTTATTATAAAGGATACAACTCAGCAACCGCCAAATATGAAGAGATTGCTTAGGGCAAGGTTCCTGGGAAGGATGCGGAGCTTCCATCCTCTCCAGGCCCGCCACCCTCCCAACCAACCAGCCTGGGAGCTCTCTGTACCGTCACTTAGGGGTTTTATGGAGGTTTCGTTACATAGGCATGACTGGTTAAGTCACTGGCCATTGGTCATTAATTCAGCCTCTAGCTCTTCTCCCTCTCCAACAGGGGAGGTGAGGGGGTGCGGGGGTGGAGCTGAATGTTCCAACCTTCTAATCATGCCTTTCCAGTGACCAGCTCCCATTCTGAAGCTATTTAGGGGGCCTCCAGACCCCAGTCATCTCATTAGCGTACAAAAGGACACTCTGACCACTCCCAGATTCCAAGGGTCTTAGACGCTCTTGTGTCAGGATGTGGGACTAAGAGCAAATATTATAACAAAAGATGCTCCTATCACCCCTTTCACTCAGG